TTATAAGGCTCCTATTTATCCAAAATTTCAGGTAATAATAAAAAAGATTCAATTAAAATGTTACTTGTTGTCGTAGTCACTTTTTCAAATTTATGGCTTTCTATTATAAAATCACATAACGCTGTTTGCAAGTGGACTACTCATTTCCTACTAATAATAAACATTACTTTATTTAAACATTTTATGTGTAATTTTGCTCTTGCGACAAATTTGGTATGTAAGAGTAAACAGGCAATGATTAATTTTATTACACGGCGTGCGAATTTGCACACATTAAAAGAGGAAACTGGTTACCTCTCTTAATATGCGCAAATAAATACAATTTTTTTAGTGTATTTAAAGTCTTTTCAGTAAAATTCATAAAAGTCTCCTTAAATAAATCAAATTTAGTTTTTTTGAACTGCATTGAAATATTCTTTCTTTTTAAATTAACAAATGAAAATATGTGATATGAAAGATATTACTACAGAAAGAGTATAATTTACTTTATATATGTATATCGTCGTTTAAACCGCGTATCGTCATTCTGCAAAACCGCGTAACTGACATTTGCTGCCAAAAATAGGATTTGCTCACACAAGCTCAATCCTTATCCATTCGTCCTGAAAGATACTAGCCAGAAATGCGATTGCTTTATAAAAAAGAGTACCATTTTGAAATATGAGTGTTCTTACTCTCTAGAAAATAATTTATGCAACGTCACATACGCGGTTTTGCATTTTGTTGATAGGCGATTTTGTACTTTAAACGACGATATGTATATTAAGATCTTGCTTAAAGCATCCTTTTAAGATAATTAAAGCAATTGCGCTTATACCTATTTTGGTGAGATCTCTTCATATGTTCATTGCTTCGTTCACAAAAAATAAAATGCTTTAATTTCACGCTTAATAGCGATTCTTTATACGTTCAGAAAACGTAATGCTTTCTACCATCTTTAACGAAAATCGATTTTTGAACGAAAAAACTTTATAGGAAATATAAAATTTTGGCCTATTTAAAAAAGTATCCACATTTATACTGACCGGAAAAAATAAGTATCCCGCATAAATTCGCCTAAAAATGTATCCAATTGGATCTATTTAGATCCAAACGGCATCCCTGTACTTCACCTACATTTTGTTCAAAAATAACACACAATTATGTATATTTTATCCTCGAAATGAACTTTTTCTAATCATGAGGCGAAATTCCCCACAGTAAGTGTTGCCGTGCGCGCCAAACGAAAGCGCTGCACACAACCCAAAAGTACTCCTCGGGGAGCAAATGGTGAAAAAATGCGAAAAGGTTTATTAGTGTATATACTGTGCTCGAAGCCGATTGAAATTTAAAGATCAGCAACGCGACTTATGTACTCTCCAGAGCAACAAGAGCAAGAGTGTTGCTACGAACTGAACAAGTAGTATGTTTAATTGTATTTACAAAACTCCGCTAGGTTGCATTTTCTAGCCTATGTTTAAAGATCTATTACAATATAAGTCGGTGTATACATTGATGCACAAACAAACAATAGTATATGATTTGAATGATTAGAAAAACTTATAATAAACAAAATATGAGATCGCTTCAGTCTCCCCCTAGGATGCTGAAAATCGATCCGATGAGGCATCCTTCTTCAGTGGTAGCACTTCGATATGGAAATAACGATGAGGCATGGTAGGTGCCTAAAGGTTGGCGGAGGTTATCTTCATGCGCGATTACATAAGCAGTAGTTCCTCATTTCGTGATGATGACTTAAGTTCCATCTCTTCTAGGAATGAATTTGGATGTCACACCTTTGGAAGCGTTGCTCAAAACGTGAGTAGTGGCTAGAACCTTGGAACCAATTTCTAAGTTTTCTTGGTTATGTCTTCGTGGATTGGTGAGAGCTTTGTTGGCATCTTGCTATCTTAGTTCAAATTCACGAGCAGATGCGAACACCTCAGCAAGAGTGCTCAAGTATGGCATGATTTCCGCAATAAAGTTTTCGGAGTGAATAACAGCTCTCAAGTCGTGCTGAATCTCATCAATAGTTCTCAGCTCGCGGCCAAAAGTTAGATAAGCGGCAGTGTAACCAGTGCTTTGGCAGCGAGTGGTGTTCATGGCGAAGCGTATGGCTGGCAACTTCTCTGCCCAGTCTCGATGCTGCTTTCCAACCAATATCGCCAACTATGTCCTTAGATCACGGTTCTTCCTTTCAACGGGGTTTGCTTGTGGATGGTAAACAGGCGTAAAAACTTGGTCTATGTTGAGACCAAAGCAAACCTTCTGCATCACTGAGGATACAAATTGGACTCCGTTGACGCTGATGACCTTCCTCGGGACTCCATAGCGCAGAGTTACTTCGTCAATTAGCAGTTTTAGGCGGTAACTTCGGTTAATGCAAAAAGCTCCACCCAGCGGCTGGCGATGTCTTTTGCGATGAAGATCCATTGTAGCGCATTTGCGCCGGGAGGTAATGGTCCAAACAAATCGATAGCAATTGCTTCAAAACGCTGTTTGCTCAATACCGTTTGATATAACCCCATTGGCTTTAAGTTAGTGGCCTTGTAGCGCTGGCAGTCAATGCAATTTTTGACGTGGGTTTCGATGTCCTTCCTTGGCCCAATACGCGGCGTCATCTGTCTTCCTTTTGAAACAGTCTGGATCACCAAGTTGGCCTTCTCGAGTCTCTTTCGCTCCTCGTTGCGATAGTTCCACATCAAAAGAGCATATATGACAGAGTTCGTCTGTGCCATGCTTTCCTTCGCAAGGTGACCTTGATAGCATGTCCGCCACTACGTTGTTCTTTCCCGGTTTGTAATCGATGTTTATGTTGTACGGCTGTAGGATTAATGCCCATCGAGCTTGGAGTCCAGTTGGTAATTTAAGTGTCATTAACCACTTCAACGGTCGGGGATCCGTAATGAGAGTTACCTCCGATCCTTCGATATATCCACGATATTTCTGTACGGCCACACGATGGCTAAGACTTCTCGCTCGATTGTGGAGTAATTTTGTTCAGCCTTGGGCAGTAGTCTACTGGCATATTCAATAGGGTGCTCATCTGGACCATCCCCCTGGAGTATAACTGCCCCAAGTGCATATCCACTGGCATCAATCTTCAGAATGAATGGCAGGCTTTCGTCAGCTTGCTTCAAAATGGGTGATGTCGTCAGGAGTTGTTTCAGCTCATCAAATGCTGATTGTTGCTTATCTGTCCACGACCAGATAGAGTTCTTCTTCGTTAGATGGGATAGTGAATTCGCAATATCCTCAAATTGAGGCACGAAGCGCCTATACCTGGAGGAAGCTTGAAGGAATGATAGCAGCTCCTTAAGGTTTTTCGGCGGTTTGCGCGATGTTATTGATGCAACCTTCTGTGGATCGACCACTATCCGATTTGGAGTCAAAATGTGCCCCAAGTACTTAATTTCGTGGAATGCAAAGCGACACTTGTCGATGTTAGCCTTAAGACCAAATTGTCGTAAGCGATTTAAAAGTCGATTGCGTTCTTCCACGAGCTCTTCAAAGTTCTTTGAGCATAAAATTATATCGTCTAAGTACGCAACTAAAACTAGATCCTTTAGTGATATTTTAAGATGATCGATTAAGCGTTTAAATGTCGCTGGCGCGTTTCGCAAACCAGAGGGCATGCGAGTAAATTTTTACATCCCGAATGGCGTGACCAACTTTCCAATAACCGGACTGAAAATCCAAAGTTGAATTTGTGGCTTTTGCGGCATGCAGTAAGTCGTCAACACGAGGCAACGGGTATCTATCTGCCTTAGTTATGGTGTTTAGTTCTCTGTAGTCATTACAGATGCGTACTCCACCTGTCTTTTTCGGAACTATTTATTACTACAGGAGCCGGCCATGGTGATTCGCACTCAACAATAACTCCTGTTTCTAGCATTTTACCAATTTCGTGTTTTAGCTGTTCTTTGCGTTGGGGCGATATAGGATATGGAGGAAAAGTGATTGGAAGATGTTCGCCAGTATCGACTCGATGTGTGGCTAATGGTGTTGTCGAGGTTGGCTCCTCGAATACGTCAGCGTTCTTGGATAATAATGCATCTAACTCCGCTTTCTGATCCGTTGTTAGGCTGCAATCGGTTTTCTGCTGCTCATTAAATTCGAACATGTTAAGAGAAAAGAAATTTTAGGCAACAAATTTCTCGAAGTCTTCTAGAGGTTTCTTCACTTTCATAGGCGGTGCAAACGTCCAAGATGTATTTTCGGGAGTTATTTGGCCAACCGGTAACGCACTTCTGAAAATGTCCTGCGCGGCCTGTGGCGAATAATAATTTTGATGCGACCGTTTACCTTTAGCGACTGGCCCGTAGTTAGTCTCTGGGCAAGCTTCCGGAGAATAATCATCTGTCGCATTTTCACCGCACTTATTGATGTAACACAGAAAGTTTGAATATTCATTCAAAGCCTTGGTGGTAACTCGTCACCACGTGGGCACCTGCGATATCCATAGCGAATATTTGACTGCCATCGCTAGGTTTAGCAAAATCATATTTCACCTTTGGCTCGTCTTCAAAATACCAGAATCTTTGTGCCAGATTCAGGACGATTATCGCCTGCTCCATGAAGTCTGCTCCGATAAGCGTACGATTTTTCGTAGAGTTTGGTAGGGATACCAACCGAATTCCTCACCCTGTTGACAATTGTTACCTCGCAAATAGTGGATAGTACCCTTTGCATGGTGGTGGTGCCATCTGCCAAGGAGACGTCTGGCATGACATCTTGAAATACGCACCTCTTGCTACTAAGGATTTTCTTTAAATTTGCGCAGGCTACGCTCGTTTTCGCCCCTGTGTCGAATAAAGCTTCACCTTTAATTCCAAACATCGCAATGTGGACCGATGGAATACATCTTCCAACGACAGTGGTAGCTACGCAGTTAAACGACAGATAATGAGGGCTTTCTTTATTATGCCCACAGCATTTTGCGCAGTTTGCGCGGTACACACCTTTTTCTTTTTGAAGCAAACATCTACAGTGTGGCCGCGTAGCCTGCAAAACGAGCGCCTTTAGGGCCCTTCCACAGATTTGTTTTTATCGGTAGATGCGATTGTAAGCTTCTTTGCTTCAGCCAAAATCATTTCTGCATCCCGACAATTTGATATTAATTCGTCGAACGTGGAAACTTTATCGCGACGCTCTCGCTCTCTTATCTTGATAGACAATAGACCGTACGTCATATTGAGCTGTACTGCTTCGCTTATGGGGTCACTCAACTGCGAAAACAGTAGCCGCTTCTTACATATGAAGCTGTCGGTAGCTTCGCGCGTTTGCTGCTTTTGCTCGAAAAATTTTATGTAAATTTTCCAATCGGGCATTGGCGGAGAAAATGTCGTCCGGATCAGCTCAACTGCTTCCTCAAAGGTCGCGACAGTGTCCTTCACACCGATCCACCAGGTCGCTGCGTACTCTTCCAGCAGAAGTGGCACACCGCGCAAGGCATCAGCGTCAGAAATTCTTTCGATGTCCTTGTAAACTGAGATAGCTGCAATGAATTCTTCCACTGCCGATGGATCGCGTTGTTCCACGGACATACACGCGGGTACGCTAAACAGCAATTCGTTTGTTTGAATAAAAAAAGACACGAACTATACACATGTACAAAAAATCACCTTCGGGTTTGTTTCAAAGCAAGGCACTGTCCGAAGCAATGCCGGACGAGATACCTTACTTGGCGCAAGCTCGAAGCCGATTGAAATTTAAAGATCAGCAACGCAACTTATATATAGTATGTTCCTTTGAACTTCGGACTAAAACCTGTGGAACTGTCAAACTACAATTTTGCTCTCTCAAGTGGGAGTAAAAGGAGAACAGATGCAGAAGGGAACGGGAACGCAAAAAGCACTATTTCCTGTAAAAACGTCAGTCGGTTTGTTTACATGTCATTTGTACAACACTGATTTGGCTGAAATATCACTAAATAATTATTAAAATATATACGTATTCAAACATTTCGTGGTTTACTTCCATTTTTTTTACAAATATAAGGTTCTTTGCTTTCATCGCCTTTTGTTGTTGTTTGCGCATGCAAATCAGCTGATCGTTTGACACTTTTCATGAACTTGCAGGAAAAAAACTCTGGACTAAATTCTGTAATTTCTGACTAGGAACAGTTGCTCAGTTACTCTCTCAAAAGTGTCCCCACTTACAGGTTTTATGTCAATAGGAACGACTTCCTGTAAGTTCTGACTAAATCCTGTAAACCGCACTGCTATTGGAACAGACTAATTCTCTACAGAGCAACAAGAGCTACTGTAAGTGTTGCTACGAACTGAACAAGTAGTAGGTTTAATTGTATTTACAAAACTCCGCTAGGTTGCATTTTCTAGCCTATGTTAAACGATCTATTACAATATAAGTCGGTGTTTCCATTGATGCACAAACAAACAATAGTATATGATTTGAACGATTAGAAAAACTTATAATAAACACAATATGAGATCGCTTCAATTTCCGATTTTTGTGATATTTAATTAATTATTGCAAATAGATAAATGTTTGTGTTTTTGTGAAAACATTTTTCGATCAAAAAAATCCCCTTTCGGTGATCTCCACAAATACCATGAAAATAAATCGAAAACGTTATATAGCATTTTTTCAATTTTTGTAATATTTTGTAAGATTTTCAATTATAAAACTTTATTGGTGTTAGATTTTCTTGTAAATAGATTTTTTGGAAAGAAATAATTTCCTTTTGGTGATTTGTACAAAACGTTCAAATAAATCGAAAATGTCATAACACACTTTCCAATTTTTTTGATATTATCAAGTAAAAAAATGTATTGTTATTGGATTAAAAAATAAACAACAAACCCCTGTGAAAAAATTAAGCCGCAACTATTTAAGCATTTCTTCCAAATTTTCGATATTTATGGAAATAACTAAGTTTTTAAATCTTTTCGACTTGGAATTTTTTTGAAAAAAAACAACTGTGAAAAGAATTATTTTCCATTTTTTTTGTAGAGATCTCCCAAAACTAAGTCGAATGTATGCATGAATTGTTTCGATATTTTCGATATATATGGAAATAATTCAGTTTTAAATTATTTTTGACTAGGAAACTTTTTTTTTTAAATACTAAAAATCTTAAAACGTCGGATTTTCCCAGCAATTAGAGCAATTAGATCCCGCCAATCTAAGCCGAAACTATTTAAGAAATTTTTCAATATTTTCAATATTTATGGAAATAAATCACTTTTCAAATCTTGTCTAATAAAGTCGTGTAAGATGTTAGCATTAGGTGGGTGGCAGCTTCGCTACTCATGTGTATATTTGCCCCCCCCCCCCCCCCCCCAATAAGTCTGCCGGCATGTTTTTAATATTTTTATCAATTAAATTTTCTTTATTTTGCACTTTATTTCAGATTACAATTTATTAATTTTGTTTTTCAGACAGTTATGAACATTTTCATTAAAATTGTATATTTCTTTACATACCTTTCAATTTCATCTACAGTGAAACCCGCTTAAGTACCACCCCGCTTAAGTACCTAACCCGCTTAAGTAACCAACATTTTTGCGCACCGTGAATATTTTGATGTAATGTGAAGTGAATCCCTCTCTTAAGTACCTCCCAGCTTATTTACCCAACCCGCCTAAGTACCTAAATTTTTCATATCCCATTTACCATTTTACTTATAATTTTCCCCTTTTAAGTGCTTCCGCAACATGTTCGGCAAAAAAATTCTAAAAAATCAACGCTACATGAAACTTACACATTATGACACTAAAATTGAATGGGCTATAAACACTTCTGAGAAAAAAGTTTGATATTTTGATAAAAATTTGTGGATTTTTTTCAGTGTTCTAAACAATTTTAGGCTTAAATTTATATGGTATTTGTTAGGCCATGAACTATGCTTTAATTGAAAATTCTTAAAAATTAATAAATAAGCATAAGTGACAAACAACATCATTTTGAATTTGGTTCGAAATGACAGATATGTCCAACACTGTATATATGTATAAATATGAATAATCAATGACTTTAAAGAATTGTATTCTTGTAAAAATGACATAACATTGATTTATCGATTTTTTTTATAAAGTTTTTGTTTGTGTGTTTAGATAATGCTACGATACGTACACTTCATTAAATGTTCATTTTTTTTTCAAGAAGTTATTTATGTTAATTAAAAAGAACTAACTAACTACATCAATAATTGTGTTCGCTTAAGTACCCGCATCGAGGTACTTAAGCGGGTTCTTTTAAGTACCTAACCCGTCTAAGTACCTCAAAAAGCTGATATTTTTCTTGAGGTAATTAAGCGGGTTTTACTGTATTTCATTGCAGATATTTTTTATTAGCAGATTTAATATAAATTCGTTTACAAATATAATTAATTAATAAACCTACATTTATAAAGCACATATTTGTAAACTTCATTTCATTGATATTATCTATTTCTGCTACCAAGTTTTTCATGCATCCAAAAAGACAAACAAATATCATACCACAACAACACACACACACACAATACCTCATGGAGGATCATAGCGTTCTCAACAAAAAGGGCATTTTTCTTAGTATGGAAAAAGGACTGTTTCTCATGTTGAGAAAATGATAGCTCTCAACATGAACTCCAATGTAATTCTCCAATTGGTCTCAAACATATCATTGAAATACTGAAATTTAAATAGTAAAATACTTTGTGCTTTTTTGATTGAAACCACATACCTACATATGTACACGCAGAAAAAAAAATAAAGAATTTCGTACTTAAATCAAGTCTAAATCAAGAATTTTGGTCACAAAAGTACGGTAATACCGAATATTCTTACAAGTACGGAGTACAAATTCTTATTTCAAGAATTTTTTTTTAGATTGAAAATTCTACTTTCAAGATTGATTTTGGAAGTATTTAAGTACGTTTCGTGGTATTGCAAGAATAATATGTAATTAGAATAAATTTAATAATTCTTAAGTTAAAACCGTTCAAGTCTTATTTTAATCCAAAATTTTTCTTAAATTAAATGTTAAAATTTCTTAAAACAAGATTATTTATTCCTAAGTTAAGAATTACGCATTCTAAAATTTAATGC